AAAAAAAAAAAAAGCTGTACAGATTTTGGTATGACAAATATCCACAGCTGGAATTTGAGAAAACAAGAAATTCTGGATTTGGCAGCTGGTCCTTGTGAATGGGTAATGGTCTTACCACTCTCTTCTGGGATTCACTGTTACCCAACTAGTTAGAGATCTAAGTTCTGAAAGCAAATGTGGATAAATGAAAACTCATTGATGCCCATGCTTTTTGAAATTGAAGATAGATGATCAAGAAAGAGTGATTTAGCACAGGCATACAAAAAGCCTTTGATTAATGATAAGACCTCTTTCCATTAATTTTGATGAACTGTTAGCTCTATTTTTAGCTGTTGTATAATAGGTACCTAATTTCTTTGTGCAAACCAGAAGCTATTCTTTGTTTTTTTGGAATTAAAGGTTTTTATTATGGGAAAAAAATAAATAAATAAATAAAGACATCCTCTGTTAACAGACTGGAAGACTTAATATTAAGATGGCAATACTCTCCAAACTGATCTACAGATTCAAAATCTGTATCAAAATTCTAAATACTATTTTTGCTGAAATGGACAAGCTGATTCTAAAATTCATATGGAATTGCAAGGGAACACCAATAGCCAAAACAATCTTAAAAAGAATAAAGTTGGAAGATTCTTACTTCCTGTTTCAAACATATTACGAAGCTATAGTAATCAAAACAGTATGGTACTAGCATAAGGACAGATACATAGATCAATGGATTCAAACTGAGAGTACAAAAATAAACACATACATTCATGACCAGTGGTTTCCAAGAAGGGTGCCAAGACCATTCAAAATAGAGTAGTCTTTTCAACAAACAGTGCTAGGACAGCTGGATATTCATATGTGAAAGAATGAAGTCAGACTCCTACCTCATACCATATACAAGTATTAATTCAAAATGGATCAAAGACCTAAATATAAGAGCTAAATCTATAAAACCCTCGTAAGGAGACATATGTGTAAATCTTTATGACCTCAGATAGGAAACACCCTCTTAAGTAGGATACCAGAAGTACAAGCCACGAAAGAAAAAAAAGGATAAATTAGACTTCATCAAAATAAAACATTTTTGTGCATCAAAGAACACTATCAAAAAAGTGAAAAGAATCCACAGAATGGGAAGAAATATTTGCAAATCATATCTGATAAGGATCTAGTATTCAGAATATATAACGAACTCTGACAACTAAATATCAAAAAAACAAAAAGCCCAATTAAAAAATGTGTAAAGGACTTAGACATTTCTCCAAAGAATATACACAAATGGCCAATAAGCATGTGAAAAGATGCTCAGTATCATTAGTCATTAGGGAAATGCAAATCCAAACCACAATGGGATATAACTTCACACTAGGATGGGTATAATTTAAAAAAATGGAAAATAGCATGGATCTAGAGAAATTGGAACCTTCATACACTGCTGGTTAGACTGTAAGATGGTATAGCCAGAGTAGAGAACAGTTTGACAGTTCCACGAAAAGTTAAACACAGAATTATTGTATGATCTAGCAATTCTACTCCTAGGTTTATTTAAGAGAAGTGAAAACATCCACACGAAAACTTGTACATGAATGTTAAGAGCAGCTATTCATAAGAGCCGAAGGTGGGAACAACCCAAATGCCCGCCAACTGATGAATGGATGAACAAAGTGTAGTCTAACCATACAATGGTATATGACTCAGCCATTAAAAGGAATGGAGCTTTGACACATGCTACAACATGAATGAACCTTGAAAACATTATGTTAAGTGAAGAAGCTGGACACATAAGGCCAAATATTATATGATTACATTTATATGAAATGTCCAGAATAGGTAAACCCATAGAGACAGCAGGTTGATTAGTGGCTGCCAGGGGCTGGAGGGAGAGGGAAATGGGAGTGACTGTTAGTGGGTATGAGGCTTCTTTTTGGTGTGATAAAAATATTCTGGAATTAGATGGTGGTGATGGTAGCAAAACACTGTAAGTATTATAAAAGCCACTGAATTGTGCAATTTAAAATGGTAAAAATGGTAAATTTTATGTTATGTGAACCTTAAGATAAAAGTCACTGGGGAAGCTGTTAAGAAAAATAAATTCCTAGACTCCTCCCCCAGAGATTCGGACTCCATAAGGTTTGAGGCAAGACCAGATATGTAGTGTTTTTTTTTTCAATTTCCCTGATAATTCTAATGCATCATCGGTTTGGGGAATCTCTGCTATAGTTAGTATATTTTCCAGTTCAAAATTCATTCATTCAATAAATATTTATTAAAAGCCTATCATGTGTAGGTCCCTAGTAGGTATCAGAGGATACAACAGGGAAAAAAACATAGGCTTTACACTCTACAGGGGGAATTAGAAAATGAACATAAAATACAATTTAGTTTCCAAAAGTTTTCAATAAACAGGAATAAATGAGGAAGAGTGACTTCCTCATTTCTTTATTCATCCCCTTGTTATATTAGCACAGCTCTGGGCCACCTAAATCATTAACGGGATGCAAGTGTCCTCAATGAACAGGGGCAACCCCTTACGAAACATACAGCTCAGAAAGATGGCCACTGGGAGGTGTCAGCTTGTCACCAAGTTCATACCTCCAAACTTACGTGGAGGGCTAGCTCACTGAGACACATTCCCAGACTTCAATATTAAGTGAAAGCTCACTGCTATCCCTTCTAAAACCAAAAAGTAGTAATAGACTCACTAGTTCTCGAGCACAAACACATACTATAAAAACAGAGATCGAATTACCTGAGCAAAAGCCAAGTTGAGCACTGTTTCAGAGGCCAAGTACTGTAGCCGGTACTCCTTGGAGAGGGCCAGAGCCTGCAGGAGCACAGGCAGGGCGATGGTAGAGGAGGAAGACCGCCAGTACAGCTGTGCCACAGACAGCAGGACACTGCCCACAAAGAGGAAGACAGGGAATGTAAATCCCACACACAAAGTAGCACTTCCATGAGATGCACAAGAGACCTCCCTTACCTGATCACCATTTCTGTATTCCTGATTTTCTGACAATGAATCAACAATTTTTGTAAAAGCTTGTGTGCCTCTGACATCTGGTTCTGAGCTTGTAGTACAATTGCTTTTCTGACACAGAAACAAAATAAACACAAATGGCTTCATTGATGTTTTGCAAGGGTTATAAGTATAGTCATGATATATTTCCTCAATTAGACTGTATAAACCTCCCAAGGGGAAGAACTGTGCCTGTTATAATTTTTGTTAAAAGAGAAAAAAAGTGTGTGTGTGCGAGCACATATGTGTACATGCTCACACATACACATACAAACAAGGAGAAAGTCTGAAATTGTAGATATCAGAATGTTAGTGATTATCTCTGAATGATACTTTTTTCTCCATTTTGCTTATCTATATTTTCAAATTTCCTATAATAAAGAGGTGATACAAAAAAGGTTTTGTCCTAAGCTAAAGTTAATAAATTAATCCACAAACAAAACACATAAGAATAGTTATTTGAGAATTCATTCTGGGATTGGAGTTTCCAAAACTTCTTACCTATATACACCCTCTATGCTATTAAGAGCTGTGATCCCTGTAACAAGCAAATCAGCCAAATGATATTTGCCATCATTCATCGCTCTGTCAAACTGTATTTTTTGATCACACAGCATCCATAACTAATGAAAAATAAAAACAATTAAGGACAAGGCAAGTGTTCATCTCATCCAACAGAGATATAAAAGTATTTTGGCTTGCTAATGAGCAAATATGCTTGCAACAATTCACACACTTTGAGATTTAAAAAATTTTTTGAAATATTTTAAGTATGTGAAAAAGCACTGAGTAACAAAAACGTGTACCAATCAACAACTGTGTCAAATCACAGTATTTGCTTTATTTGCTTCAGATACTATTACCTATTAGAAGATCTTTGCAAATTCCATTCCCCTTTTCCCAAAGTAAGCATTTGATTTGATGTTTATCATTCCCATTCACATTTTTATACATTTAAAAAATATATTCTTATCCCTGAACAATATAGAGTATGATCTTGTATGTTTTTAAACTTTGCATAAATAAGTACTATCATACTGTATGCATCTTTTGACAACTTGCTTTTAAGCTCAACATTATTTTCTGGAACTTACACATGTTAATACAAGTGATTCTAGCTCATTCTTTTTCACTAATAGTTTCCAGTTATACGAACATTCAACAACCTATTTATTCTCATGTTAAGTATTTTCTTAGTACCAATTTTTTGCTTTTGAACAATGCTACAATAAACATTCTTACTCATCTCTCCTTGTGCGCAGCAAGCAGGAGAAATGCGGGTTGTAGGACATACGGACCTTCACCTTAATATAGAGCCCATTTGATTTTCAAATGGGCTATACCAATTTACAGTCCGCACCAGTAGAACATGACATTACTTGTTGCTCAACATACTCACCAGTACTTGCTTTGTCAGATATTTTATCTCTGTCCAATCTGATGGGTCTGAAATATTGCATCATTTAATTTGTTATTTCCCTGATCACCAGTCAGGCTGAGCATCTTGTCATATCTACTGGCCATACATGTTTTTTCTGTGAACTGTGAATTAAACTGTGTCTTATTTTTTACTGTGTACCTTTTTAAAAAGTGGCCAGAACTGTAACCAAAACTGCTCTACTACATTAGCACTGCCACAGAACCACACTTAAGTCTTTCTTCCCTGCAGTATCTTGGGTGCTACCTATCTTCTATTTCATTTGCTTACCACCTTTCTGTCTGGGTACTTTGAATTCAGACCACAGCTTACTGAAAGCAGCAAATGAGATCCCAGGACGGCTCACATGCAGATGGGCACTCACACCGCATCTAATGAAATGGAGTCAACAACCATGTGAATGGCAGCTTTGGGCAAAAGTAGAAGGAGAATCCTGGACCACAGTGTCTTATGATTTCAAATTCCCCAGTCCACTGAAGACTAAACTTGGTAAGGGAAGAATATGGTAGTGGCCCCTTGTAACAGCTTTTCCAGTGCAGTAAGGAACAGATGGCTTAGGACTGCTTTATAAAGTTCATTCCCTCCGGGTACAACCTCTTCCCAAAAGATTACTTAATTCTAAGAAGAGATTAGAGTTGTCAAGAGACACAACAACAAAACAAACCTAATTCTTGATCTATCCAAGGACACTGATTTCTTAATCTCATTCAGCTAGAGATTTAAGGAATACTAATTTAAAACCATGAAGACAAGAAGAGAAAAAGTCCCCAGCTTTAAATCTTTGATCAGAATTTACTTCTCAGCCTTCTTGAACAGAGCTTACAGTCTCCTACATACCTGTGCTGACCTCTACACACAGATGACACAGAAAGAAACCAAGAGACAAGAAACTGAGAAGAAACCCTAAAATATTCTGCTTTGACAACAATACAGTAAAACAGTTTTTTCAGAAATCGATCCAATGCCACACAAAAGACAGGTTACCTGGGCATGCTGACTATTAGGTGGGAATCGTTCCTTCAAGTGCTTTAACACTTCTGAAGCCGCAGAGAAACAGCCCTAAACAGAAAGACACAGTGTTGATGGTATAGTGGTTAGCATAGCTGACTTCCAGAATACAATCTGATTAGCACACCTATGTTGAAACCACACCTCACAGGATGTCAATAGGATTCACCTGTTCTTGCTGCAAAAACCTGGAAGACGCTGGCTGAGCCAGTCAGGTATCAAAGGGCTATTTTTTTTAGGTTTTGATATATTTTATTTGTTCATTTAAATTATATATATTTTTTAATTACACATACATGTTCACTCTAGAAACTTACAAAATACATGCAAACAATAAGAAAAAAAATTACTTTAATCTCACCAAAGATAATCATAGTAATGTTCTAGCACATATCTTTCTAAATTTCTCTTATGCACATGAAAACATAAATATTCTGGAAATAGGTATATATACTATTTTTTAAATGCCCTGTAACACTGTTTACCACACTCAATAAATATTTTTTGAATGAATTAATCTCTCCAGTGTCAACAAATACAAATCTGTATCATCAAAGTATTTTATTACATAAATTTACTTATTAGGTAAATAAATCATGATATATCAAAAAATCTATTTTAGGATATTTTGGTTGTTTCTAATTGATTCCACTTAAAAATGCTGTGGTAAGTATCTTAGTACATAGATATTTGCATACTTGTCCAGTTAGTTCCTTAGGATGAAACAGAAGTAGAACTACTGGGTCAAATGGTAGGTACTTTTAAGCCCTTTGATATATACATATATTACTAAATTACCCACCAGAACTATGCTAGGTACTTTCATACCAGCACTCTATGCCTTTCTCCTCTCCCAATATTTAAGCATCTTTGCCTATTTTATTGGTGAATCTGGTATTTTACTGTATTAATTTGGATTTCTTTAATGACTAATCTGAAATTTTTTCATGTTTTTTGGTCATTTATGTTTTTTCTGTGAATACATATTCATGTCTTTTTTATACTCTTATATTGGAATGTTTATCTTATTGAGCCCAAATGCTTTTCAATTTGTCCCAATTCTTTGATTAGGTAATATACCTTCTGTCTGTATAGAAGCTCAGTTAGACCACAAGTGAACTTTATCTAAAGTAAGTGAAAATTACATTGAATTATAATAAAGGATCATTAATCTTTTTATTCTTGTGATTTTAACAAGATCTTGCCAGTTATTTTCCTGAATGCCACATGGTGCAGGCATGTGGATCTAGATCTTGCCAGTTATTTTCCTGAATGCCACATGGCGCAGGCATGTGGATCTAGATGGGCTGTCAAGCCTTCAGGCCAAGTAGAGAGAACAGTACATATGCTGTAATAGCCCCCAAAACATTCCTGCTGTGACCTGCCATTCCTGAGGGTGGGAGAGGAGTGACAGAATTGCACAGAAAGAACAGAGGGTGGTTATCTTGGCACTTCCCTGGATCACAAAAGAAAGCTTGGAAACAGAAGTTCAGACTCCACCTACAGCTTCTTTATAGGTTCACCCAAACTCCAATCACCGCAATATCAAAGTGCAGCAGCCAGTTTATTGAGAGATCAATTTCAGAACACAAGTGGAAGCACACACAAAGTAAAAAAAGAGTGAATGGAAACTCATGATCAAGCTACCTTCTCCATAGATGGTCAAACTTTAATTTCACAGGTGGGAGTCTAACCTATGTAATTAAAAATGTGACAGTCATCAGCCCAGCAAGCATACCTAAGTGGTAGATGTTTTACAACTAATACGGTGTTTTGAAGGCAGGTTGAAGAAAGGGGAAAAGAGATTGAAATGAAATAAAGACGCCACTGACTATCAGCTAGCTGTGCATTAAAGGCTTCCTAACATATCCAGACAATGATGGGGTCAGCAGGTTTTTCACATAAGCCCAGAGGTGAAAGAGGGATGAAGATGGAAATTCACACATAGGTCCAAAGACCATGGTCACTTTCCAGGGTTTCACCCCCCCCAGGAAAAATCATGAAACTGTAATATTTTACCTTGGAGAAAATTTTGAGGCTAAAGAATTGTGCCAAAATCAAGATTTCAGTAAAGTAATTTTCCATTCCATTAGAAAAATAAAATAATTTCTATCCTGTGTAACTCAAAGACAATTGAAGGGAAGCTATTCCACTGTTTAAGGTTGGGGTCAGTGGGGAGAATCCAACTTAAAAAGTCACATGGGACACTTAATTATTAATTAATTAATTGATTATTTTATATAGAGTCTTAAAGTTTATTTTGGTAGACTTGTTTTTATGGTATTGACTTAAAGTAACTACTTTTCAGAAATGACTCTTTGAAAAACTAAAAATGCAAATGTTTATACTTTCTTTTATTTCATAGGTACATAGTGATTACCCAGGAATAAGGATTCTCCCTTTTCTGCCTGTAAAGAGCAAATAGATCTACAGAATGCAAGCTACAGGTGGGTGAATTCTATGGGGTGTGAATTATATCTCAGTAAAGTTGTTAGAAAAAAAAAGTCACAGCAAATCCTTCACTGAAGGTTCACTGACTCATTCATTACCAACTAAACAGAGCACCAGAAGAGGAAAAGAAGAAACTTAAGGAGGTTCTGGTGCCATTAAGAGGGGGAAAAAAACAAAAGCATGGTGAATGTGCATCTTCTCCAGAGAAAAGCCAACAGCAGAGCGGCTGGCTGCTCTCTGGTGTCAGAAAGCCTGAGCAGCACTTCCCAGGCCCAGGAGGAGGGCAACTGCTGGGGGTACACGCAGGACCCAGTAGCCAGAGCCCATCCAACTCCGCTGTCTACACAGCTACCTCATGGACTGAAACATGCTAAATCCCTTTAGTAGAGGAGGTATTTATAGACTTCTGATGGGATAGAAACTACCCAAAGATCCTCGGGCTGCAATTAGGGAGTACTGAGTGGTATGATGTAACCTAACAATAATGGATACCACAAAGAGGTGGAGAAAAACAATGTGGTCAAGGAAATGCACTTACAGCCAAGGTAGTGTTCAGTGAGAATGCGGGCTTTAGAAAGGAGGTTTCCCTGCCCTCTTCCCCAAGAAAGATGATGTTTTGCACAAAGGAGAGAGAAAGCTTAGGCAGCATGAGAGACACTTTGATCAATCCCCTATAAAGAGAATCATGTAAAATTCCTTGGCCTGTAAGTCAAGGTTATGTCCAGTTCCCACTGTCCTACTTTGGAGTAGGTTCAACTTGGGTTGGAGAACTGACTCTGCATTTAGTGGTGTGGGTATAGGAATTAGCTCCCTGGAACTCAATTCCTTGTTCTGTGAAATAGGTATAATAAAAAGTTGAACTCATGGAGCTGCTATAAGGATTCAGTAAGATAATATATGTAAAACACCAAGCACATAAAAAATGTACAATGAACATTAGCTATATTTTTACAGCTATACATGTATATCATTTTAGCTATACTTTTATTATGCTCTCCCCTCTCCTATAAACATAGACAGCTCTACTATCTTACATTTCAGACTCTTTTTTATTCCATTTGTTACATGGAAATAGCTGGCCTCTAATTCCCTTCTATCTGGTGTCAAAAGGGACTCCAAGTTCAACAAACTTTGCCGACTCCAAACCCAGTCCATTTCCACTCATGGGATTTCACCCTTTCAGCCACCTGCATCCAACCAGACCCATCAAGACATGTCCAGTGCCTTTCTCAAGCTCTAGAGGGAATGGCAGAACCTCCACTGTTCCAGAAGCACACTGGCCCAGCCACCTGCCTACCTGCTCCGCGTGCAGCTCTGCGAGGTGGCACAGAGCAACGGCAAACGACTCTGTGTTGTTCTGCTGCACGCCCGCATTTACTGACTCCAGGCTGTTCATACTCAGCAACATCTGGGCTTGCTGCAGTGCCATGGTGCTGGTGACAAGAACAGGAATTCCTTACAGTCAAGAGACTCCAGTTGCCTATCAGCCACACCCTACAGTTATCTTGTGTGGAAAAGGAAGGAAGTTAAGCCCCTCTGCAGCCTCTGGCTTTGTGGGGGCAGCTGCCTCCCAATGCCAGCTCTCCCACTCTCAGGACAAGGAGAGCAGAGAAACATCTGAATGTGCAGCCCCAAAGGAAATATGGAGTTGTTACAGGTCCAAGATCCAGACAACCACCAACCCCCACCACTACTTCTAACTTCCCTGTGGTTACAGCATGTTAATTAGTTTTCATGGGTAAATTCAGACCTGATGCCATCCTGGCACCAGCTGCACAGGCAATGCTTAGTGGCCAGTGTCTGAAACTGTTTCAGACCACATCATGCCAAAAAATTATCCCAAGTGAAAAAACAAGACTGGTAAAATCGGCACTTCTTTTCATTATTAATTCCTAGAAGCAGCAGATTATCTAGGGGAGAGGTTACAGGCTCCAGGATTAAAGATCTGGTCCAGAAATTTACTTCCAAGCTAACAGAGGCTAAATGGAAAATCAAACACAAGACTAGAGATATTCCGAGACCACTCCCTGGCTAACAGGGAAGACTTTCTTTAAGCTTAGCTTTGGGGCTCAGTGCTCGACTTGAGTGCTGTGGCCCACGCCTCCTACAAACAGGCAGAGGTTCCTGTCTCAGAGCACAGTGGTACAGTGCTTAGAGTCAGAGGCCTGGGCTCGACTTGTTAACTACATTCATGACCTTGGGCAGATGAGATGTGTGAACCTTGAATTCCACATCCTGGAGTGGAGATCACCCACCAGTTACCCCTCAGAGCAGTTGGGAAGTGTAAATAAGAACGTGAAGAAGAAAGAAACTTTGCAAAGCCTGTGCAAAACACAAAATGTTTTCAAACTCTAAGGATTTTCTTTAATCCCCCACATGGGCAACTTCCATCAAAGGGGGAAAGACTTGTTTGGCCTTTCAGAAACCCAGTTCACTAGCTTCTGCTTATCTTTGAAAGGACTCACACTTCCACGGCCTTGAAGAATCTGCTTGAAGACCCACCTGCGGCCGTAGAGTCTCCAGATGGCCGTTTTCTGTGCGATGCTGATATCAATAAGCTCTGACAGGCTGTGCTTCCAGTGCAGGAGGTCGGAGTCCTTCAGAGCATCCATCAGTTTGTTTGCCGTCTTCCCAGCAAAAGCCCTCTGCTGCACCAGGGACTGGATTCCCAGGGAGGCAAGGTACTAAAGGCACAGACAGACCCATGACTCAAGACAGAGATTACATAACAGAATTTGTTTTGTTCTTCAGAAATTTGGCATATTCACACATGCACAGCAATACCACTATTTAAAAGATAAGTACTTAGAGACTGACACTGACCCATATGAAAGCTGGGGCTAGAAGAGAGGCAGATGGTACACTGGGAAGACCCAGGGCTTTGATGTAAAAACACTGCCTCTGTCATTTACTGTGTGACCTGGGGCCAGTCACTTAGCTTCCTAGCCAAGCCTCAGCTTTCTTATCTATAAAATGGGCCTCAAAGCTACCACAAATAATTACTGAAAGGATTAAAGTGAAATAGTATGTGTCAAACACTATGGAGTAGGAGATTTTAGAAATGATGCTTATTATGAGCATTAATTACTTTTTTCATTAATTTCTAGCAGTTTTCAGGGATGAAAGCTCAACTAATAAAAAGGACAGCTTAAATCCATAACAGAAATTGTTCTTTAGAAGTATATATATATATCATTTATTTTTAAGAGCTACTTACTTGTTATTATAATCAATTCCTTATGTTTAAGTTTCCTTTCCCAAAAAATGAGTCGAAAGGACAATTTACAAATTTAAAAGCACATATACCAAATTATTACATTACTTTCAGTTTTACTGGACTTTGCTGAAACTTCATGAGACAGAATGATGAAGCTATCCCACTGCCTATGGTCCAGTTTTCAGTAGATGTTTTTGAGACAGAACAAGGTTCTTTGTACCAAAGTAATCTAGAGTCTAGCAGTCAACACTACTTCATATACGGAGACTGTCCTTTCAGTGTCCTTCAGTATTTGTCACTGAGGACTTAATTCAGGTCCTTCCCTGTCACTCAAAATGACAAAGGACAAATCTGCCTATCAGGTTTACTGGTTCCTGGCTTTGTTTATTGTTTAAAACAAGGATCAGCAAACTTGTCCTATAAAGGGTCAGAGAGTAAATAATTTAGGTTTTGCAGGCCACATTTGGTCTGTGTTGCATATTTTTTGTTGCTTTTTTCCCCCAACTATTTAAAAATATACAACCCATTCTTAGCTTACCTACGCAAGCCAGATTTGACCCAGCGGCTGTGGAGTTTGCCAAAACCTCATTTAAAAATAAGCCTTCTGCATCTTGCTGCACTGATGGACAGTGACTGCACTGGGGTATGGGTGGGGACTTGATAATACGGGTAAATGTAGTAACCACATTGTATTTTCATGTGAAACCTTCATAAAAGTGTATATCAATCATACCTTAATTAAAAAAAAAATCCTTCTGCCCTCGGGCTCTGTGCGGAGTCCAGCCCCGCCCCAGGGGCGGAGCGATGCCGACTGAGGCGGGCTGGCTCAGTAGCGGGGGTGGGGGAGATGGCAGCGGCCGTTCCACAGCGGGCCTGGACCGTTCGTTGTGCAGCGAGCAGCTACCCAACAAGGACATTACCAAGTTTATTCAGGACCACGGTTCAGATTCATTTCTTGCAGAACATAAGTTAGCAGGAAACATTAAAAACGTGGCCAAGACAGTTAATCAGGACCATTTGGTTACAACCTATAACCATCTTTTTTAAAGCAAGCGTTTCAAGGGTACTGAAAGTGTAAGTAAAGTGGATGAGCAGGTAAAAAATGTGAAGCTTAATGAAGATAAACCCAAAGAGACCAAGTCCGAAAAGACTCTGGATGAGAGCACCAAAATACACAAAATCTGTTCTTTAAAAAGGAGATAAAACCAACTTTCTCCAAAAGGGAGATGTTGTTCACTTGCTGGTATACAGGAACACTACAGGGTGGGACTGTTTTTGGTACTAATATTCAAACAAGGTCAAAGAAGAAAAATGCCAAGCCTTTAAGTTTTACGGTTGGAATAGGCAAAGTTATCAGAGGATGGGATGAAGCACTCTTGACTCTGAGTAAAGGAGAAAAGGATCGACTGGAGATGGAACCAGAATGGGCTTATGGAAAGGACAGCCTGATGCCAAAATTCCACCAAATGCAAAACTCATTTTTGAAGGGGAATTAGTGGACATTGATTGAAACAGCAATGCTTTAGATATAACGACAGCAACAATAAAAACAGGCTTTGAAGAAACTTATGTAACTAAATTAAAGCTGGTTACTATTATAAGGGAAGAATCAACTAGAAAATTTAAGGAGTTAAAACTTGTTTACTTGATCCTACACTATTAAGAAATGTAATCTGTCATAAATCCCTGAAGTTTAAAATACTTTACTGAAACTGTTAAAATTTTGGTTAAGGAGAACTCATTTTCCTTTTACCTCATGTTGTAAACTAATAGGGTCAATAAAAATGTCTTGAAAAATAAAAATAAGCCTTCTCTGAAGCTTTTCTAAGCAAATTTGTACAAGTCAATGTTGATCAATAAACTAAACAAAGATATCATCTAATTGATAAATGCAACTTTCACAGATGTTATTAGGATATAGGAAGTAGGGAGAAATCTATCAAATAGAATTCAGTGATTTGGATTAATTAAGGTCACATGAAACAACCAAGAATGGAACCACACCATTTATGTATTTAAACAATCTCACAGAAAGATGAGCCTTACCGGTAACCCAAAGTGTACTGCTTTCTTCACAGAATGCTCTAGCAGAACATAGCTATCAGATCTCTTCTGCCCCAACACATAAAGCCAGCTCTGGAAAAAGAAATCATCAAAATATACCCAAACATGATAATGATAAAAGTATAGCCTAACAATGATAATGGCTAATGTTCTATGAAAATAACAGCATGGTTATAAGGAAGAATTAACAAGGTACAAAATAAATCCTCTAAAATACTCTTCCATGATTATGAACCGACATGAAATTCGTTGAACACATTCAAACTGTCAGACTGAAATAAACAAGCCATTGATCTTCATCTCTGAGAGCAGTCAGTAGTAAGTGTTTCAGAAAAAAAAGTATGAAGGCCCCATATGGGCTTTAATTGAAAAAGTGAGATTCTCAGGTGACTGTTAAATGAATACAATGTTCTACTTGTGCTTGGCAGTTATGGACAATGGTCTCATCCAGTTAATCAATGCTACATACACCTTCTTGTCAATGCCAATGTTCAATATGATAGTTTTGCATGGCAAGTTGCATTAAAATCTGTAGATAAAAAATACACCCAAAGCAATACAGAGGTCAGGAATTAAAGAACTATGGGTTGCCTTTCCTGAATTCCCACGACCACCTAACTAGTTTCCCTTCACTGCTAAGGACCTTCCATCTGCAAAACAACGTAATTTAAATGGGGCTTTCTGAAGGCCAACTCAATCCACAAGCAGAACTCCCAAGGCAGGAGGGTGGACTCACCAAGCAATGCTGGAGACACACGTGATCGTTGGACTCCTGGGCAATCCTAATTGCCTCCTGCAGGGCCAGCTCTGCCTGTTGACTAATGACAGACTGAACATTAATATCTTATTAACAATCACAAACATGCACAGGCAGCAGTAACAGGAAGGCATCTGTACAGTAATTCACCTGAGTGCAGGCTGCTGGGCTGCAAGATGCAAAGAGGGGCTTAATCCCTCAGAGGCCCTCCCCTCCCCAGCAGCAAGAAACATTAACAGTGGAGAATCCTGTCCTTTAAAAAGTGGATTTCTACTAAAAGGAGAAATAAGGAATGTCTTTTCTAGATCTCAGCTCCTAGGGTTTTTATTTCACCTGTTTGCTGCTGAGGGGAGGTGCAAGGAAAGGATATATATCTTACTTTTCACTGTACTCCCTTCTGCATTGTTTGAATTTTTTTTTTTCTTACTATGGCTTTTGATACTTACATTTATATAATTTTCTCAAAACTACTTCTAAAAAGTATTTTGTGGATACCCATTTCTGATATTTTTTTTTCTGCTCATGTGGTTCCCTCCATCTGGGATGTCTACCCCAATCTTTCAACTTCTGTGGAAATTCAGTCAATTATTCTTGGCCCCACTGAACTCTCTCACTTCTGAAAACACCCGCAGAAATGCTATCTGTGCAGGGCTTAATTAAATACTACTGTGTATCACCTTCTATTTATTTAATCTCTGTTAATTTTATTTCTTCAACTAGTTTATAAAACCTGCAGAGGGCATGGGCTTAACATTTATTGTTTATTATTTATCTCCCCTACTGTAAGCTCCATGATAACAGAGGTTATCTTTCTTTTCATTGTTGTATCCTCAGCACCTAAAATAGCGCCTCATACAGAGTAGATGCTGAGTAAACAACAATAAAGATTTTCAAGAAATCTCCACAATTCTGTTAGCTAAATGACAAAGATTTATATAGGCCTATAGCTTTAAAACTAGCAACAAAGAAGCCTAGACCTGAGTAAATCAGTAAATCAGGAATTAACTAGCAGTTAATTTCAGGCAACTAGCCACCTACCATTGAGAATATTATAATACCATAAATATAAAGAATATTATACATATAAAGAAATTCTGTGCATCAGATTGTTTCTATAAGGCTCTATACAAATTTCCAAATCCCAGGGGAAGCTGTTTTGAACACAGAACAGAAATAGGTTAATGGTATATACCTCAAATGGTGTTCCCATTGATTAAGAGTACATAAAAAATGAAGGGCCCTGATCAAGAGATTAAAGCTAGGCAGACAAAAAGAATTTGATTACTAAAAGGTGATAATGGAATCTCACAAAATCATGGAGTTTAGAGTAGCCTTAAACATTTTGTGTACAACTATCAATCTGATACATGAATTCCCTTAATGACATGCTGGGTCTAGAACTGAGTAATCTGGTGATACTCTTCTCGGAGGGTTTATACAGGGAACTTCTTCCATCTGATGAGTGAAAACGTTTTGCCCTTCAATTTGCACTGACCAGCTCTCACTCTTCTTTTACGGTCTTACTCTCCATCAGTCTAAGCCCTTCACCTGACCTTTTGTTACATGAAGATGTTAAACACATTCTTGGCTAAATCATGCCAAGCTAAACATTCTCACATCCTTCCCACATTATTTGTATGACATGGCTTTGAATGCCTCCAATAAGACTGTCCCCCACACAAGCTTGTGTCTGTGTCCTTTTTAAAATTTGACTATTAAAAAACTATATAAAACCAGAAATTAAAATTTCTGAATGTTACTTGACCCATACAGCAAGGCATAAAAGTTTCAATTCTTGAATTTTGGACACTATTTCCATTAATACACTCTAGAGTCTCTATTCAAACATGCCTACAGCAAAGAGCACATTTCTCTCAAATGGGAAAAAGTCACAGGGTGGGGTGGGGAGGCCCTTTCAATCAGTAATTTCCTACCTTTTCATCATTACTCACATTACTTCACTGTTTCCAAAACAGCCTGCAGGCTTGGAAAGTTTTTACCCACTTAACTCTATTTAGTAAATAATAACTGATCAACTTTCCTACCTTTATTCATTGAAATCATAGACATATTTTAGCAATGGCATAATCCAATGTCACCTCCCTGAGCTGCCCGAATCCCATCCAAAAGCACAACATGAATTCTAAGTAAACTGTACAGTCTCTCATCCACGAAAGGGATAACTTCCTTTTGGCTTTTTGAAATTCTGAAAATAGCTCCTGCATCCCCATTATTACCTCTGAAAAATCCTTTTGGGAATCTCCAGCCTAATGACCTAATTTCCTTTTAATTCAATGGCTGTTCTTAGAAGTCATCAAAGAGGCCACATACTAAAGCAGTAATGCTCAACAGTGACACATGGGGGCAGACTACCTAAGTGGGAGATTTTCATTAACTTCTGTCCAATGAGGAGGCTTTCCTCCTTGGAAGTTATTGACAAGTTCAAGTTGAATAGTTTCTTTCTTTTCTTCTCCTTTTTTTAAATACAGCATTAAAAAAAAATCTCTGTTAGCACTTGAGAGTTAATTTCTTCGATTTCTGCATGGATAAAAATCTGTAAACTTACTAGTGACCAAAGCGGCAGTGCAGGGCAGCCAGGTTCAGGGCAGCATATCTCAAGCTGCGTCCATAGCCCTCTTCCCCGTTACTTTTGCTTTCAGCTCCAGTAAGAATTAGGCGGTCAAAATAATGAAGGAGGCTATGTGTTGAACTGAAAACATCTTGGACCCGGAGGTTGTTTAAGTAGCTGAGATAATGCTGAAACAAGAAGCAAGCAACAACATATTTTAAATGTTGTTTACTCTTGCATAAGACTAATTCAGAGCGTATACCCCAGTGTATCCCAGATACTATCCCCCACCCTTCTAACAAGATGATCATAGTTTAGCTTAATATTTTTCCCACAGACAGAATAAAAAGGTTCAAGATACACTGGTTTGTTTCTCCCCCATCCCATCCCCTAGGAATCCCCAGACGAAACCAGGAGTTCCATTACTATGTGTGTCAAGTGTTTATCCTCAATATACTTCCACCGTGCCACTGGTTACAGTAGGACCCATGGGAGATACGGGAAGGGAAGGAGGGACTCACCTAACTCAAGTATTAAGGAATACTGCATGTTCAAAAATAAAGACTTCAAAACATGAATTCATATCAAAATTATAAAATAATTTTCTTAAATGTCCAAGTTAAAACACAGACTTTTACTAGTTTTACTAAGTTAATTATCTTCTATTTTGAGACTATTTTCATTTGTTTGAGTTGAATTAAACTTCCCTCCAAACAGGTAGATTCCAGTTACTTAGATATATTTCTTTAAGTGGATAAAGTCAGATGTCAAACCCCAGTACTATTAAGAAAGTTTTTCAGGAAAAATCCAATAAGGAACAGAATTATGTGAACATATAATAAAAAAACAAACACTGACAAAAGAAAAGGAAAAGAATTTTAGCCCCATAACTTATTTAAAAAATCAGTCTATTCTGTCATTTCCATTCATAATTCACAACATGGGAGAGATGATAAATGAAAGGGAACATAAATAGACTGACGAAATCCCTACTGGCACAGGCATAGGAGAGTGGGAGGGAAAGCTTTGCAACTTATGCTGAGCTGTTTACTTGCCAACAGCACAATTTCTTTACAAGAACCTGGGCCAAGGGACCAATCCTCATGTGCTACATATAAAGAGTAGCCTTGTCATTTCTTTCCAGTCCAGCCGCAAGGTCAACAAATGCTGAAACTCACCGCTTCAGCAAAGTCAGGATTAAATTTCAACAAGTTGTTCAATTCTTTCTGTAAAGAAGCTGGTGTGAGGGCTTTAGTCTCATCATTCTTTAACAAAGAAGCCTGAAATTTAAAGACAACAACTGAGTAGTAATGAGAAACAGCCAATACACATATGGGAATGTATACTACTTGCACCACCTGATTATTTTCTTTTCTGAAGCTACTCTCAACTCTTGACTGGATAGACACTGTTTCCTCTTCCTGAAGCACTAAGCCTCCCAACCACACTCCCTATCACATACTCCTCCCATGCCTACCAAATTCCTGCTCATTCTCCAGGTCCCAATTCAGACTCTGGTCACCTCCTTCTATCACCTTCCAGATTAAGTAAGGCCCCATAAGCCCCTATGTGCTCCCATAAGTCCCCTGCACTAACCCTTCCTGGAGTACTTATCAAACTACACTAAAAGTGCCAGTCTGACCCCATTTCCAGATGGCAGGCAGATTGTGTGTATCTCCAACACTGCAAAGATCTATGGCACTGGCTGCCCTGGTTATTTGTTTCATATGGATGGTACCAGCAATGACTATATAAAATATGTAGAAAATGTCATTCTAAGTTAATTAATACTTAACTAGGTTATAGACACTTCAATTTTACCTTGACAAATTTTCTTTGTAAGTAGTAATAATTTCTAATTCCATTTTAATTCATATTATAGAAGATTCCAAAAATACAGAACAGCATAAAGAAAGCAAAAATCATCTGTAATCCCTCCATCCAGAAATAATACTATTAAATACATCAGGATATTTTATTCCAGTGTATGTTAAAATATGTGTAGATCTGTGCATATATGTATACATATATCCCATATATTTAACAAAAGAATATATCATTTACTTTCTATTCTTTTCATTTAATAATATATCATAAACTTTGTTTCATCAGTCTTTGAAAACTTTTTAAAGCACAAGTATTAACCCTTTGTCACATTTATTGCAAATACTGTTTCCCATTTTGTTGTTTGCCTGTTAATTTTGTATAACATGTTCTGGCATATAGACATTTTTAATTTTTATACTCAAAAATCAAGTGATCTTCTCCTATATGTTTTCTTCCACAGCTTTTATGTTTAGAAAGTCTTTCTCCACCTAGTAGATAAGTTAAAACTTAATACGTAGTTCCTTCTAGTCTAATTACAGCTTTCAGTATTTACATTTAACCCTTTAATCCATCTGTAATATACTGAGGTATGAGGATGAGGTGAGGATCCAGCTGTCTTTTCTCCTTTATATTTAATCAATTGTCTCAATGGGTTTTTCTAATCTGTTTGATTCTATTGTTTTCATCTAGATCTAAACAATACATCCTTCTGCTGAAAGTTAGTTTTCTAGAGAAAACTAGAAAAGCAAAAATAAAAATTCTATGCTGAAAATAACATGGGAGAAAAATGTTCAGCTTACGTTAATAAGAAAATGAAAAAGTATGGATCAAAAGCACCAGCAAGACTTGTTTTGGGTGAAATGTACTGATGTCTGCAAATTGAAATGCACCAAAAAATCAGATGAAATGGTGGTTGGATAAAGGATGGATAAATAGATGATAAAAACAGAGAAAAATATTAACTACAGGATCTAGGTAAAGGTAAATAGGTTTTCACTGTACAATGTTTTTCAACTTTTCTTTCTGTTTGAAAACGTCCGTGGTAAAATGTTGGAGGAAGGGAAATAAGTCTTCTAAATCATGTTTGTGGACTATTAGTTGCACACCATTATTAAATTAACTTGCATCATAACTTTAATAGAAAAATAAAATCACACACGAAATAAGAAGGAACATACGGCTATAACTGCATTGTTAGTGAAGAAAAGGAGATTAAGAGTTAGCGGCTAATGCAGATTCATTCATAAACCTACTAACATAACAGGCATATGTCATGATATACAATGTTACAGGATTAAAAAAAATTTTGTGATAAATACAGAAGTTACATACCTGTTGAGAAAGAAAAAATTCTGCTTGTTTTTGTGACAGAGGCCCACTGCAAGATACCTCCTCTTCTCTGGAAAAAATAATAATAATAAAGAATTACACAATAGTTTACAAATGCTTACAAAGTCAAATAGTTTCATCAGAAGAGTTAAAAAACTTTTTAAATTAATTCTCCCCTCTCAGGAACAGAAAAGACATACTTAAAAGTGATATTGAATGACCTGCCAAAGTTCACACAATATAATTATGGACAGATACAGATCTAAATTCTACACAGCTTCCAGCATGATCTTTCTAAAAGGTAAATCTATCATGCCAGCCCTGATTTAATTCCTTTCAGTGGTATGTCATCACCTTCTAGAATAAAGTCTATACTGCTTAGCAGGGCAAGTGAATGCTTCAAGAGTGATTTTACCTCCTACCTCTTCCCTTTGCCTTCTCTTGCTCACCTATACCAGCACTGATGAACTCCTTATTGGTCTCCTCTCATGCCAAGATGCCCCACTGCTTCCTCAGCGTACAGGGCCCATTGTCTCACCTACCTTTGGACTGTTGTACACCATTCATCATTCAAGACTAACTCAAGTGCCATGTCCTCCAAGAATCTCTCCTGGCATCTCTCATTTGAGCTCCCACTATCTCCTGGAGATGCTTGTCACAGCAACTATGCTTTGCTGCACTTACCTGTTCTTACTCACATTTGTATGGGAATACCCAAGGCCACATTTAGACAAAGAACAGGCACTCAGAGTTTGGGAAATGAAGGCAGCAAGGGTTTCTGACTCCTTGATATAGATACAAGAAGTGCTGTATTAAAGAACAGGAAAAAAGTGGCTTTTCCTAAGAAATAACCATTTGCCTAGAAGTTTAGATTACCTAGAACCAATAAACTAAATATGTGTTGGTATATATTTAAGAAATCTATACATGTACAATATAAAGGTTTTATTTTAAAAGCAAAGTATGAATAATACTCTTTTGCAACATGACTCTGAAGAAATGGCTTTTCTATATAGGATTACAACATGTATACAAAAAGCTGTTTATTCATAAATAATATTTTTATAAGCATTGTGTCTAATATAACAGTTCTCAAACTGCTTCATGCAAACAATAAATAGATATTCAAAGAAAAACCATGTTTCTGAGGTTAAATAATTTTGGGCAAGTTGTATACTCTATCATGCTTGTATACTCTAAATAATTTTGAGAAAGTTATATCTTGATGTGCACTAGAGAAATCCAATAAAAAGAAACTATTTACTTCTGTTTAATGTACCATTTACCAAACTCATTTGAACAAAGAATCCTTTCCTCACAGCTCTCAAGAAGCACTAGTGTTCCATAGAAAACACTCGGAGAGGAGCTGCTCTAATATTCTCTTGGTTTCATTTCTAGTAAATATTACCTAATAATCCCAAGGCAGCATATCAGATTTTGCAACTATTAGGGCTACCGAGAACCAGCCCCAACCAGGTATCATAACGATCAGTGATACAATAGTGACCTAGAGGGAAATGGGAAAAAGTTCTCAAATGGAAATAGTTAAGTGTCTAAGCAATAAGAAACCCTTTTCTCAGGGCATTACGATTAACATGCATAATGTGGGGGGAGGGACACAGGGAAGGCTATACAGCACGGAGAGGACAGGTAGTGATTCTACAGCATCTTACTATGCTGATGGACAGTGACTGCAATGGGGTATGTGGGGGGAAGTTGGTGATGGGGGGAGTCTAGTAAACATAATGTTCCTCATGTAATTGTAGATTAATGATACCAAAATAAAATAAAAAATAAAAATAAAAATAAAAGAAACCCTTTTTTCTTAAATGAAGGAATGGCTATAACAAATAGATAAACATGGCTGTAATAAAAGGGCTAGAGACAGATGAGAATCTGAATGAAAGCAGACAGAACACTATGAGTCCCATCCTCTGAAGTTCATGATGCTCACTGATACTAAATGCTTTATTTACTTAAATCCTTTCCCAAAAGAGACTGCAGGTAGTATATAATAAAGGATACAGGAGTGATACAGTTAATAAAACAGAAAAAGAGAAAATCAGAATCACACAAAGTGAAGTTGCTACAAATGAAGGGAAACACAGTTGCTATAAATAAAGATCAAATTTGGCTCTGGCTTCCACCGCAGAGACTGTGGCCGACAGGAACAAGCTTGGGAAGAGCAAGGAGAAGTACCATGGCCCAAGCCATCCTTTACTAACTCCTCTGCTTCCTCAGAGCCTCACAAATACATGCTGGAGAAAATGACTCTTAAGAAGCCAAAGAGACATTCAATTTAGGAAAAGGACTACCCATTTAGGAAAAGCATTCAAGTATACCTTGTTTATAAATCCAATTATCAGCTGAGAGAGAATTTTAGACTTATTAGTGCTATACATCAAGGGCACTTCACCTGGGTCCATGGATGGGCTTCTAGGAGTCCATGAACCTAGTAAAACTGCAGGCAAAAGTTTGTAAGATGTGTATCTTTAATGTGGAGGCAGTATCTGGAATTCATGAGATTCTCAGAAGGAATCTGGAAACTCCTCTGAAGGGCTTATATCTACCACTGTAAGTGAAATTTTAAAAATATAGGCTAAATCAATCAACAAAGAGTTTTTATTTGTGAGCACTTGCAATGCATAAAACACCAGTTCTGGTCCTGGAGGAGAAACATAATGCCTTAATGGGCTCAGAGCCATGGAGAAGGCTAAGACCAGGCCAGTGAAATGACGGCAGTAAATCACCAATGCCAAGTATGAATCTGAAGATGAACTCTGTGCTTAGCAAAGGGGAAGTCACTCCTGCTGGGGTAGTGAGGAACTTGAAAGTTGGGAAGGAGTGGAGAAAGTATTCAGGAAGAAGGCATTCCAGGAAAGAAAAATAAAAGACACAAGCTGGGAAAAGGCCTGGCATTGGAGGGACACAGCAGACATGCTGGCTGGAGTAAAGGATCAAGTTGAGAAGCAGAAGGTAAGGTCAGAAAGGTCAACCACAGAAGGCCTCAAACATCAGGCCAGGAGTCTCTGGAGTCTGGAGATTTCTGAAAAGGGTAGTGAGAAGACAAAAGCAGGGGAGGGAGGGACTGAGACAGGGCACAGTTTCCAAATATCCAAGGAGGCTGTGAGGACCTGAGCCCTCTGAGTTGTGTGACCAGAGCTGATCAGGCACCCCACCCCCGGCGGTGCTCAGGCCACACCACCCTTCCTTCCATCTCTCCCATATGCCAGCTTGTCCTGTCTGAGGCCGTGTGTCTGCCATATGCACTGGCACGGCTCCTGGCTGTCTCCTTCATCACCTTGACCCCAGACGCACAGGGCCCTCACTATTTACTATTAGGTTGTATAGTGACACAACAGTGACCTAGAAGGAAATGGGGAAAAAAATCACCCAACAGTTCTCTAATTGTGTATCTGGGTATAGCTCTTCACTGCACCGACACTCAAAATTACATAACTTACTAATCTAGTTACCTCTCTATTATCTGTCCCTCCTCACATGACTGCACAAGAACAGGGACTTTCTCCCCTTTGCTGACAGCACAGCATGTAACACAGTGCCTGGTACACCAGAAGCACTTAGCGTTTAATAAATTAATGAATTTGGGAGACTTATATTAAATCACTGGCAAGTGAAGAAATACTTCTACTCTTGCTAGGTCCTTTTAGAAGCACAGAGAAGATGTAGTTCCAGCCATTTGCAGGCTGGTGGCCTCCACTGCATACTCAAGCCTGCCCGCCTACTGCAGGACACAAACGAACACTACGGCACGGCAGCAATGAGTGGATGAATGCTGAAGCTAAGTTTCCAAGGGAGCTTGCTTCTGTAACTGGTGTTTCAAAAAATACCTGATAAACATTTCTTGACCGAGTATTTATTCCCTCCCTCCAAATTTAACAATCAGGGACAATTTTCAAATGGGAATAATTGCATTGTAAGATGTGAGATTCACAAGCTATGCAATGTTACTTTCCCCTTTCTAATTTTAATACAAACTTTTAGGGCAAGAAAAATAATTTCCTGGAAGAAAAGACACCTAAAACAAAAGAAAGGGCAAGAATGAGAAGCTTCTCATAATGCAATATTAAAAATGATCACAGAAAGAAAAAAATGAAATTTTCCTTTTTAAAAGAACCAAGAAATGCATATAACTATATCCTATAAAATAAAGTAAAAAATCTTACAAAAAGTAAAATCATTCCTTTTTGGACAAAGAATTATAATACTTTATTAGAAAAACATTTAAATAATCTATTTCTTTAATTTCAGTGATGAAATTCAGTTTACTATATGTACATTATTTTCTGAAACTGTACACCTTACTAGTAAATGCACTGGATAACACACAAATTAATTCTTGGAACAGGATAAAAATAAGATACAGTTAGACACTACACTGATGGACACTGACTGTAATGGGTATGTGGTGGGGACTTGATGATGGGGAGAGTCTAGTAACCGTAATGTTGCTCACATAATTGTAGATTAATGATACCAAAATAAAAATAAATAAATAAATAAATAAATAAATAAATAAAAGATACAGTTAGACCTAGTTAAACCAGATATAGGAAAAGCCAAACTGTATTAAGAAAAGTCTGAATTACAACATTTCTCAAGAAGTGACATTCTGCTATTTTAAGCATATTAAGTAGCCAGAACAAGATTACACTGTAGCCTGGAAGCATTCCCTAGGGCCTTAACTAAAAGAGAAACTAGAGAATGAACACTCCTTGAACATTTACTACATGCCAGGTACAGTTCTAAATACTTTTCATGCATTTATCATCTCACAACAGCCCTCTGAGGAGGTGAGATAATCCCCATTTTGGAGATGAGGAAATGGAAGCACAGAGAGGGTGAGCAACTGGCCCAAGGTCTCACCAAGGGTATAAGTGGAGGAGCCAGAATTTAAACCCAGTGACTCCACAGCCAGATGCTTAACCCTACACTATACTGCCTTTTCACTAGATGAGAAGCATTTGTAAGCAACTCTAAGCAAGTGAGTTTTGGTAAGTATTTAATGGTAAAATCTTGCTCCCAGTATGTTCTGAACAAATCATGGAACCATACAAAGGCCACTCACAGAAACTGCAGGGAAGCATTCTCTATCCACATACAGTCACCACTTACCCCACCAAGGGGGCTAGCCAGCCCACTTAGAGCAAGAGGGGTTTACTTAAATCAGCTCTGAACACATTGTATTATAATGATCTTTAGGTGTCAGTCTTCCTCACCCCAGTGGGCCTCTGGAGATCAGGGAATATGAAATACACGCATGCACACACACCCATGTGTTTTTCCCTCCTAGTACTAGTTTTCTGGGAAGATGATCCCTAGAAACAGTTGGGGACAGGGGAAGTGAGACAGCAAAAGTAAGGAAGTTAATTAAAATTATGTTATGGGGCCAGTTACCAGTGAGGGCAATGGATGAAGCATTTTGATTCTCTGCATTCGTTCATCCAACATATACTCACACTTCCTAGGAGTCAGGCACTGCACTAGCACTGGCAGAAATGATGAGCTACACCAAGACAGAAGGGTCTATGCTCTGCAAGGGTATGAAAGCAGAGGAAACAGATACAAATGAGGAGGCAAAAAAATTTTTAAGTCACTTCGTGAAGAGAGCTCTGAATAAAGCTGGAAGTACTTGGGATGGAGGCCACCTCAGGTACATGGTCAGGGAAGTCTGTCTGGTGGCGCTGGAGCTAAAATCTAATGACGAAATGGAGCCAGTGAGGTGAAAATCCAGGGAAGAGCATCCCTGGCCACCTGAGGCAGAGGGCAGCCTGGAGTGCTTTCATGACACTGAAAGCAAGTCCAGGTGGTTCAACTGCTGAGAAGGGGACAGAGAGGGAGGACAGCGGGGGCCAGACCAGGCAGGCACTGAGGCTTAGATTCCTGTCCAAATTCCAGGGACTGTCACTGAGGGTTTGGGGCAGAAGAGTGCTCTGGTGTGATTTACATTCCTAATGGTTTCCCTGGTGCTGCATGAAATACTGATTGTAGGGGAACAAGAGTAGAGGCAAGGAGAGCAGTGAGGAGGCTAGAAAAACCATCCAGCCATCCATCCAAAAGATTCAGGGCTTCACTACAGGGTAACAGTGGCTGGCGATGGACAGAAGTGAACTACTTCCAAACACAAGGTGGAGGAAACACTGGCTGTTGGGGTGAAAGAGAGGGAGGAACCAAGGACACTCCTAGGTTTTGTGCTTGAACAACTAGATAAGCAGTGGCACTGCATCCCCAAGGCTTAAACTTTGGTAGGTATTCAATAAATTGTCACTAAATCAATCATTAATTCACTCTGATGTAATGACATCACCCCATCTGCTGGGTTAGGGTCCCAGCAGAAAACAGGTGGCACATTCAAATGGGTAAATTTGAGAAGATTTTAGTAAAGAACCACTTACAAAAAATAGGGGCAGGGAATAGAGAAGTCATAAGGAACAATACAGTCCCCAGGGCTGGTAACAGTAGGGCACCTGACATACCAGGCCTGGGGAACAGTCCCAATTACAGAACCCCAGAGGAATGCAGAGTGGGCCACCTGACAGAAGCTATGACCCGACAGCCAGCACACCCTGACCCAGAAGGAAGAAAGCCAATGACTCAACTCTGAACCTCACTCTCCTTGGCCCTTTGGATATCCCACCAGGGCCTCCCAATTGGAAGTTAGAGGGTAAAGAGCCAACTGATGCAGCCAGTATAGGTCAACTTCCTGGGTCTAAAAGGGTAAAAAGATAAAGGCCAGCACATGGGCTCTGAATGAATGAGGATTTACTGCACCTGTAATTATGCTATTTTGCGGGAAAGGGATCCCGGTCAGAAAAATGCAAGTTACCTTATAGATACATCAAGTTCTTCTTTCTCCATTTTCCTTTCGGCCTCCTCTCTGCTGGTCAGTTCCATATCAGTGTCCTCCACAGTCTTTTTCTCACCATTCTGGAAGTACTGTTGAAGGGCAGTGTACAGTTTAAACACCTGACTGAAAGAAAGCTTACTGTATGCCAAGATCATGTGACGCAGAAACAAACCTGAAAATTAGAGACAGAAACAAGGTGACAGTATTAACTGAAATCCAGGCTACACAAAGTTGTTGCTATTTGTTGCAATTCTTTCTTCAGAAGAATCAAAAAGAGACACTTGGCAGGTGTTGTTCCCTCCACCTAGAATGTTTTTGCCTCACCCCTTACAAAGAGCTGTTTTCTTTTTACTCAGGGCTCAGTCTTATAACCTGTACTCCACCATCTTTATCCATCCAATATATTTTTTGTGGCTATTTTAACTATCTGAAATTATCTTATTTGTTTAGTTTTTACAATCTGGCTCCACTCTACCAGAATGTAATCTCTGTAAGAGGAAAGTCTATGTTTGTACTGTAAGTCAAGAGACTGGCACACAAGAGATCAATAAACAATTTATGTTATAAACACATGGAGGCTTAACAACATGCTCCTAAATAATCAATGGATCAATGACCAAATTAAAATAGAGATCAAGCAATATATGGAAACAAATGACAACAACAGCACAAAGCCCCAACTTCTATGGGATGCAGCAAAGGCAGTTCTAAGAGGAAAGTATATAGCAATCCAGGCCTATTTAAAGAAGGAAGAACAATCCCAAATGAATAGTCTAAAGTCACAATTATTGAAATTGGAAAAAGAAGAACAAATGAGGCCCAAAGTCAGCAGAAGGAGGGACATAATAAAGATCAGAGAAGAAATAAATAAAATTGAGAAGAATAAAAGAATAGAAAAAAAATCAATGAAACCAAGAGCTAGTTCTTTGAGAAAATAAATAAAACAGATAAGCCCCTAGCCAGACTTATTAAGAGAAAAAGAGAATCTACAAACATCAACAGAATCAGAAACTAGAAAGGAAAAATCATGATGGACCCCACAGAAATACAAAGAATTATTAGAGAATACTATGAGAATCTATATGCTAACAAGCTGGAAAACCTAGAAGAAATGGACAACTTCCTAGAAAAATACAACCTTCCAAGACTGACCAAGGTAGAAACAGAAAATCTAAACAGACCAATTACCAGCAACGAAATTAAATTGGTAATCAAAAAACAACCCAAGAACAAAACCCCTGGGCCAGATGGATTTACTGCGAAATTTTATCAGATATACAGAGACGACATAATACACATCCTCCTTAAAGTTTTCCAAAAAATAGAAGAGGAGGGAATACTTCCAAACTCATTCTATGACTCCACCAAAAAAGAAAACTACAGACCAATATCCGTGATGAACATACATGCAAACAACAAAATATTAGCAAACTGAATTCAAAAATACATCAAGAGGATCATATACCATGACCAAGTGGGATTCATCTCAGGGATGCAAGGATGGTACAACATTCGAAAATCCATCAACATCATCCACCACATCAACAAAAAGAAGGACAAAAACCACATGATCATCTCCATAGATGCTGAAAAAGCATTCAACAAAATTCAACATCCATTTATGATAAAAACTCTCAATAAAATGGGTATAGAGGGCAAGTACCTTAACAAAATAAAGGCCATATATGATAAACCCATAGCCAACATCATACTTAACAGCGAGAAGCTGAAATCTTTTCCTCTAAGATCGGGAATAAGACAGGGATGCCCACGCTCCCCACTTTTATTCAACATAGTTCTGGAGGTCCTAGCCACAGCCATCAGACAACACAAAGAAATAAAAGGCATCCAGATTGGTAAGGAAGAAGTCAAACAGTCACTGTTTGCAAAAAACATGATATTGCACATAAAAAACCCTAAAGAATCCACTCCAAAACTACTAGAACTAATATCTGAATTCAGCAAAGTTGCAGGATACAAAATCAACACACAGAAATCTGTTGCTTTCCTATACACTAACAATGAACTAGCAGAAAGAGAAATCAGGAAAACAATTCCATTCACAATTGCATCAAAAAGAGTAAAATATCTAGGATAAACCTAACCAAGGAAATGAAGGACCTATATGCTGAAAACTACAAGACACTCTTAAAAGAAATTAAAGAGGACACTAACAAATGGAAACTCATCCCATGCTGTTGGCTAGGAAGAATTAATATAGTCAAAATGGCCATCCTGCCTAAAGCAATCTACAGATCAATGCAATCCCTATCAAAATACCAATAGTATTCTTCAACGAACTGGAACAAATAGTTCTAAAATTCATATGGAACCACAAAAGACCCCGAATAGCCAAAGCAATCCTGAGAAGGAAAAATAAAGTTGGGGGGATCTCACTTCCCAACTTCAAGCTCTAGTACAAAGCCACAGTAATCAAGATAATTTGGTACTGGCACAAGAACAGAGCCAGAGACCAGTGGAACAGATAGAGAGTCCAGATATTAACTCAAACATATATGGTCAAGTAATATATGATAAAGGAACCATGGACATACAATGGGGAAATGACAGCCTCTTCAACAGCTGGTGTTGGCAAAACTGGACAGCTACATGTAAGAGAATGAAACTGGATTATTGTCAAACCCCATACACAAAAGTAAATTAAAAATGGATCAAAGACCTGAATTTAAGTCATGAAACCATAAAACTCTTAGAAAAAAACATAGGCAAAAATCTCATGGACATAAACATGAGCAACTTCTTCATGAATGTATCTCCCCAGGCAAGGGAAACAAAAGCAAAAATGAACAAGTGGGACTCTATCAAGCTGAAAGCTTCTGTACAGCAAAGGACACCATCAATAGAACAAAAAGGTATTCTACAGTATGGGAGAATATATTCATAAATGACAGATCCAATAAAGGGTTGACATCCAAAATATATAAAGAGCTCACCCACCTCAACAAACAAAAAGCAAATAATCCAATTAAAAAATGGTCAGAGGAGCTGAACAGACAGTTCTCCAAAGAAGAAATTCAGATGGCCAACAGACACATGAAAAGGTGCTCCACATCGCTAGTCATCAGAGAAATGCAAATTAAAAACAGAATGAGATATCACCTTACACCAGTAAGGATCACCACCATCCAAAACACAAACAACAACAAATGTTGGCGAGGTTGTGGAGAAAGGGGAACCCTCCTACACTGCTGGTGGGAATGTAAATTAGTTCAACCATTGTGGAAAGCAGTATGGAGGTTCCTCAAAAACTCAAAATAGAAATACCATTTGATCCAGGAATTTCACTTCTAGGTAAGAATGCAGGAGCCCAGTTTGAAAAAGACAGATGCACCCCTATGTTTATCACAGCACTATTTACAAAGCCAAGAAATGGAAGCAACCTAAGTGTCCATCAGTAGGTGAATGGATAAAGAAGATGTGGTACATATACACAATGGAATATTATTCAGCCATAAGAAGAAAACAAATCCTACCATTTGCAACAACATGGATGGAGCTAGAGAGTATTATGTTCAGTGAAATAAGCCAGGTGGAGAAAGACAAATACCAAATGATTTCACTCATATGTGGAGTATAAGAACAAAGCAAAAACTGAAGGAACAAAACAGCAGCAGACTCACAGAACCCAAGAATGGACTAACAGTTACCAAAGGGAAAGGGACTGAGGAGGATGGGTGGGAAGGGAGGGATAAGAGGGTGTGGGGGGGAAGGAAGGGAGCATTATGATTAGCATCCATAATAGGGGGGCACGGGAATGACTGTGCAACACAGAGAAGACAAGTAGTGATTCTACAGCATCTTACTATGCTGATGGACAGTGACTGTAATGGGGTTTGTGGGGGGGCCTTGGTGATGGGGGGACTCTAGTAAACATAATGTTCCTCATGTAATTGTAGATTAATGATACCAAAATAAAAATAATAAGTAAATAATAATTAATGCTGAATAACATAAAATGTCAGACCATACAAAAAAGCCAGATGCATGGGGCACAAAAATAAAGCCAATAGAAAGGAAATTTCAAGTATGCCCTCGCCTTATAAACCATATCAATAATATATTCTTACTTATCTCTCTTCATAAAAGTTTAGTTAGTGACCCCGACTTAAAGTTGGACAATGCAGACAAGTGATCCAGAGAACTGTGAGAAAGAACTGGGAAATCCTAAAAGCCCTCAGGACTAGGCTAATACTTTGACTATTATAGATAAAAAAGATGATGTTTCTCCCCAAGACAATTATTTCAACACAGGTGAAAATGGCAAGGCAGTAAATACAAACTAAACCATGTCCAACATCCCCACTGTGTTTGTTCCGATGTAGCACAGTAATGATAGATGTAATTTAGAAAGCTGCTCACTTCAGTGAAAATATTCTCTGCTCTCCTTAGAAGAGCTGCATACCTACTACACTTGTTTTGTGAACCTCTGGTTCAGTTCCAGAAAAAGAATCTGAAAGGTCATCAAAAAACTGTTCCATATCCTTCAATTCGCCTTCAGCCATCAGTTTGATTCTGAATGAGAAAATTGAGGTGCGTATTTTAGAAGGCCCTTTGAACATCTGCCCACGTTGCATATTCCACAATTATCTAAAATAAATCAATTCTAAAAGTTATTCAGAAATTCTTATAAAATGGTGGCACATAAACCTGGTAGTCCAAAATGTCAGTCTTACATTCTGAAGAGTACCATTGCTGATGTTTTCTTAATCATAAAATTTGTCAAGAGTAACACATCAGCCAGTAAAAATGAAATTCTCTGCAACAACTAATAAGAACAAGGTAGATCAATATAGAGAAAAATTAATTTTGAAGCAGTATGTTTAATGTTAACCATTTTTCCAAAAGAAAAAATTACTTAGGAAAACAACCTAGAATAAAAAAGGTACCTTTTTTAAAGAATTCATTACCATGCACCCTTTTCTGATTTTTATCTACCTTGACATCTTTTCATCTAAACAAAAGAAAATGAAGTTTACCTGATCTGTACTGAATTTGCCAGCTGAGGACAAGATTCTTCAATTAACTTGTATAGTTTAGACAATGTAATATCTGGGCCCTGGGCAAAGGAGAGAAAGGGAGGTTACAGATAAATTTTAAAGAGCTGAGAATGAACAAACAGCTGCAAACATGGATATTCACTTAAGCCCTCTGCTTTAACAATTACGCCAAACATGAAATCTCAAATCAGGAAGGGAAAAAAACCTATCTATCTAAAATGCAAAAGTTTGCATAGCATTCTTGTTTCATTGGAGAAATGGCTTAAAATGGAAAAAAAGTATAGAATTTGTAGTCCAAGGATCTATAATTACTTCTTAGTTGTGTAATCACGCCAAAGTTGTAGCTTCCTTGAGCCCTAGTTTCCTTCATCAGTAAAATGGAGAAAATAATAACCATTTCCCCTTTCTGTGGCAAAGATAAAGATACAAAGTGCTTTGTAAACAGGAAAACATAATATAAACACAGGTGTCCTATTTTTCATAAACATAATCTATTTGAGACTTCTCAAACCTTGTAAGGCAGGCAGACATACTATGTGCCCAACCCGTAAAAGGTACCATCAACCATCAAAATTATAATCTAACTGAGGTTTAAAACTAAATGCTGAATCTTTTTCAGAGAGTAAGTTGACAGTATACATGCCAAATTTAGATGTGGATAACCCAGCAATTCCTCTTCTAGGGAAGATATATTCAGCATGCACTGTTTGAAATGAAAAACTGAAAAGAACCTGTAAGTCCATCAATAAAAAGTTGATTTATAATTTACAATAAATTACAGACTTTTAGTATTAATTAAAATTATGAATTATTATTTCTTTTCTTAGTGTGGAATACAATATAGGCCATTAAAAGAATGAGATAAATCTGTAAATTCATCTTTCCATATCAAATGTTCTGATATGGAAAGATCTCCAAGATTGGTTCAGTGAAAGATCAAGCTCTAGAACAGAAGTAGCATTTATGTTTTTAAAAAATTAAGCAAAATTTAATTAAAAGAATACATATATATTCTCATAACCATATGCACCTATCTATCCATATACACATACATACAGCAAAAGGTAATGAAAGATCCATTCTGAACTGTTTACTCAATAAAAAGTTCAATGAATGAACATTAACAGTGATAATCTCTCAGAGGAAAAAGGATTGGATGGCATGCAGAACCATAATCTTTCACCCCATCAACTTTAGTATCATTTGAAATTTTTATAATGAACCTTTGGGTATTAGTTGAGTAGTTAAAAATTAACTAGTTTTTTTAATTGAAGGATGTTTGATATATAATCTTATACTAATTTCAAGTATCTAATACAGTGGTTCACCAGTTAACCACATTATTAAATCCTCACCAAAAAATTAACTAATTTTTAAAGCCAAACAATAAATAAAGGAGTTGGAGTTTGGCTGGAATGTTAGTAGATGAATTCTATATATACTTTTATTAAATAAAACTATGCAGTAGTTAACCAGGCAAAGGGCCAGAAAGGAGAATCTGACAGAAAAAAACAGCATGAGCAATGGCAGAAAGGTGTGTAGGTTGACAAAAGAACTACTGTTTTGCTTCTTTTCTCTACTTACTGAAATTACTGTATGTTAATTACTTAATATTGTAGTAAGTACTATGACTTTTATTTGAATAGTGGAGAAAATGCACATAATAGTAATGTGGATAGGGATGGGAACTACAAGTTATAGAGACCCCATTCCTTTTATTTAACTAACTGGACAAGCCACTTAAACCTGTGTCCTCAGTAACCCTTCTCTCCACAACAAATTCCGGTGATGGATTTTGAAAAGCCATTTATGAGTGATGTTGATAATTCAGGGGCCCAAGACCCCAGATCTTTGTTTCTGCCACCACTGTTCCTCTACAGAAAACTGCTCCTCCTTCAAGCTCTAGCTTAACACACCACTTCCTCTGAGAAGTCCTCCCCATCCACCTGAGACCTGAGTACGCCCATCCACTGCAAGAGGGTATATCACATTTCACTCATCTCACATGTTATTTAGGTGCTCTACTAGCTTTGAGGATGCAAGAGTAAAGAAAAATAGTACACTGTTCTCACAGAGGTTACATTCTAGTGGAAGATAGATAGTCATATCTATCTTTATGTTTTTAAAAAATTCCATTCAAATAAATGGAAAAACCACAACTGAAATGAAAATAGCTAACATTCTAGCATTTACTATTTGCCACACGTGAGGTGCTTTCTATGAAATGTTAGCTGGTGGTAGTGTGTGTGTGTGTGTGTGTGTGTGAGGTGCTTTCTATGGACTGTTAGCTGGTGGTTGTGTGTGTGTGTGTGTGTGTGTGTGTGTGTGTACACGCGGTTGAGAGACTGTCTGATGAACCCCCTGACCTAGGCCCAGGACGGTGTCCGGCACAGAGCAAGTCTCAGTAAAGGTTTGCAGGATGAGTGGGAGCGGCCCCTCACCTGCAGCAGAGGCAGGAGTAGCTGGTTGAGCCTCCGCCGTTCCATGAGGCTGACCGCGCCCTCGCCCGTGCGGCCCATCTCGTTCAGCAGCACAAGCACCGCGATCTTATACGGCGTCACCCAGTCCTTGATGCCAAACACGTTGGCGTGCACCACCCCGTTGGTCATCATGGGATTGAAGTACAAGCTCTCGTGGACGCTGGCCATGGCAAGCCACGGCTAATACTACGGGCCCGTCTGCCCGCCGCGCCAAGGTTCCGGCTCAAGGCACCTCAACATGCCCCACACCGTCTCCCGCAGCCGCTGTATCCCAGGAAACAAGCATCTTGGCGCACGGCATGCCGAAGACCAATCAGAACAACGAGACCGGAGCACATGGGAGAGCTACAACCAATCAGAATGTCCAGGATTGCTGTTTCGAGTGGGCCAGAGACGGTGCACCTATAGACCGAGTCCCTACAGAAACTCCTGATTGAGGAGCACAGGTTCCCGGGCGAGGTAGTGTGTAACCGGGTGAAAGGCAGACGGCGCTTGGGGTCGGGGGCTGAACCGCCAGAAGCACTGCCCATTTGTTCATTTACTTTGAAAACAATTAAAATTAAAATTTAAAACCATTGTGTTTAAAAGCAACGAAATTGTGTACCTTAAAATTTTTTTATGTCAGCTTAATTTTTGGGTTTGTGGCAACTATAGTTACTCATTAAATACTATTTAAGTTTTCTAAAATACAGCTTTAAAACATCCAGTATGCATATTTAATCTCAGTCAATAGATTCAACACCAAGTATACCTGTTACAAGCATCAAGGCTAGACTACAAATTATCAGTCTTCATCACCATCATTGTCACCACTATCTTAACGTTTTCTTTTCAGTGCATTTGATGATTCATTGGAAGTGTTTTGTGATGACGCCATGTTAGTGATAATAAGTGTTTTTGGATTCAATTAATGGATTAATCTAAACATTCTGAACTGATGATAATGCAGGAATTGATGCATTTACATCTGAGGACTGTGAATTGGGCATCTGTACCATAAACCTTTACCCTGTGAGGGACATGGGAGCCCCTACTTTAGTTGTCACAGACATGGTTTGTGGCCTTGCTGTGCCAAGTGTGGGAGTACTTGGTCTGCTAGTAACTGAACAAACACTTAATCACGAGACTGTTATTCTTCTCGCAGAAGACGCTTTTTTGTAAAGACTTAAGTCTATAATTTGGAATAAACAATATATATCAGGTGGCAACCTAGGGCCTGAATATGGCTTGATTAATAGCAAGGGGGTTGATTTTTTTGCCTTGCAATACCTAATAAAAAAAATCTCTGAGGAGGAGCAGTAAAAGACTGATCAGCAGGACACTGCACTGCCAATCACAAACCATCTGCATCAATAGCAGCTTTCCTGGCATAGCTTGAGTGAATTTTTGGATCATCTAAGATTGTGGTCACAAATCGGAAGGCAAACTCCAACATGTGATTTATAACTCCTAGCTTATATTCTGTAATCCCCATATCCTTAAGGATTTATCCCATCATCTGTGCATCTTTCAGCATTCTCTTGGGAGAAGCCATCTTGCTGGACTCATGATGTCTGGTGATCAGATTTCTCATCTAAATCATCCACATTAATGTATTTCAATTCTGATCTTGATGCAAATTCTTGGCCTAGCATGGTTGTTTCAGCCCCTGGTATACCAGTAAGTATGTTGGGAAGTAACATGGTCCTCACCCACTTAACATAATTTTTAAACTCAAAGTTTGGGAGTTTCATTTAACTCTTTTAAGATGAAAATAAACATTTTTTCTCAGTATTTTACAAATGTCATTTAGAAACAGCCTGGTCAGGTTGTAAGAGGCCTTGTATCCCTATGTGAAATAGAATTTTTTTTTTACGAGAGTTTTGGTTTTTTTCCTTTTTTTAAATTTATTTAGTTATCATTGCTGCTTATATCCAGTCAATTATTACCATATAGGAATAAATCCATTGCCAAATTTTCTAATTTTTCAAGTAAAGGTGGATATACCTCCAGCTCTTATGAAGGTTTCACATGAAAAACATTGTGGTTACTACATTCACCCATATTATCAAGCTCCCCCGATACCCCAGTGCAGTCACTGTCCATCAGTGTAGCAAGATGCCACAGAGTCACTACTTGTCTTCTCTGTGCTACACTGTCTTCCCCATGACCCCCACGCACACACCATGTGTACTAATCGTAACACTCCTCAATCCCCTTCTCCCTCCTTCCCCTTCTCCCTCCCTCACCACGCACCCTCCCACACCCCTCCCCTTTGATAACCACTAGTCCCTTCTTGGAGTCTTGAGTCTGCTGCTGTTTCATTCCTTCAGTTTTGCTTCATTGTTATACTCCACATATGAAGGAAATCATTTGGTACTTATCTTTCTTTGCCTGGCTTAGAAATAGAATAAAATTATTGTCTATTTTTTTATTCTATTATTATATCACTTCCATGTTGAGTCTCCCTTTCCTACCTAACAAAACCCATAATCTGGCATTCATAGCCCTCCAAGATCAATCCATAGACAGTATTTTCAATCCCCTTTTTCACAACTTCCCCTCTATTCATCTGTACCTCTCCCAAGACATTTCACATA